ATTTTTCTTAATGAATACTTATTGAAAGCTGCTTCAGACACTTTGTAGAGCAGCTGTTAGCATAGTACAGCTCCATGGGAATGGTAACATTTAATCAGCAAATTCATGCCAAGGGGGAGTGTTATCTTTCCTGGCACTCAGAGGCAAAAATTTCCACTGCAGCAGCAGTATAGCCAGAAAGGAGCTCATTACAAAGCACCCCAGCATGCAGTCTGGCACTTCTTTTCCAAGCTCACCACAGACACTGAGGCCTGGTCTACACTACAGGGTTAGGTGGACATAAGCTGCCTTGTGTCGACCTAGCTGTGGAAGCGTCTTCACTTAAATTTGGCTCCAGTTGACCTAATCGCCTCTCTGTGCCGATTTAGTAACACCACCTCCCTGATCGGCAGAGAGTCACAGTCAATGTAACTAGGTGGAGACAGGGTCAGTGTAGACACGTGTTGCTTATGTCAACTGTTACTGGCCTCCAGGAGCCATCCCACAGTGCCAATACAATTGACACATGCGCTCCTGGTGAGAGCACACACTGCTGACACAAGGAGCCAAGTGTGCGCGCACACAATTAATTTAACAACTGCGGTGGCTGTATGCCACTGCAAGTTAGGTCAACATAATTTTGTAGTGTAGACAGAGCAGGGGGTGAGGAAGGGGTCCATAATTTAGCCCCCAGGGCTGTCTTCAGTAAAATGCGGGTTAGTGTCTTTGCGCTTAGCTTGGGAAAGAAGTTGCGCCAGGCTGCAAGCTGGGGTGCTGTGCAATACATTTCTTGGGGACTACACTGCTGCAACAGCAAAATTCTGCCTTTGATGGCCTGGAAAAACAACATTCCTCCTTGGTATAAATATTCTAGAGGTTAAATATTACCATTCCCCTTGATTTGCACTGCAAGAACAGCTTCAGTACAAGAGCCAGTAGCTCTATTAAGTCTTTCAGTTTTAAAGGACGAAGGATGGTTCTGTGGATAAAACTCAGAATAAGTTGATTAGCCCCATTTTACAGATAGGAAACAAGACCAGGAGATTAAGTGACTTCAACAAGGCCTCAGAAGGAGCATCAGAGTCCAAGTGAGAAGATCTGAGTGGGATCTCACAACAGCCCTGTCACCACCAGGGCAGACCCGGCAGCATTGCCCCTACAAAATATTTAGGGGCCTGCCATAGAATTGAAGGAGCTGTGGCCATCGGCTTCATGGGACCAGAAGGCCAACTGTAGGAAAAACTAGTGTGACAAACTGAACATTATAGGGAGTTCTATTTTTAAAGCTCTCACTGCAATGAAGGAGGCTAGAAATGTTCAGTCAGAAAAAGGAGTAAGCTGGGCTACACCTGGAAATCTACAGGCTCCCCACATTCAAGAGAGCTGTGCTGCTACAGCCTTGAGACCCTGGAGACTGATGGCTACTCTATTCCTATGCTTGAGGCATTCACCCTCTTTGTGCTCATCACCCAGGCTGGAGGCAGGCAGGCCCTGCGGTGTAAGTTAGCCTAGTGCTCTGCCTTATTCTCTGCTTCCCATGGATCCCTCTGGTTCCTGGAGAGCAGAGAATATCAATAGCGCCGTGCACTCCCGCGGGGTTCCTGGCATAGGAGGCAGATCAGGGATTGGGATTGGGATTGGAAGTGGAGTTGGGCTGGTGCGGGGCCTTCACCACAGCTCTCTGCTAGCCAGAAAGGTTCCTCTGCACAGAGGCCATTTTCAGAAATGATCTATGCCAGGGCAGGATCAGGCCCTAGATCTGCAAATCAAAACTCTTCCCTTACTACAGGTCCTGGTACAGGCCTGTTCTTTTCACATTCTCCTTTGGGAAGCACTCACCTGCTCAGCTTGTCCCATCACTGACTCACAGGATCTACTCAATCATGAAAAATGTTCTGCCAAGTAGCCAGGCAGAGGAGTGGGTGGATAATATTGGCCAGAAAAGGCAGTCAGAACACCACGCTGCAAAAAGAGAAGAAATCAAAATGCAGGTATCTTAGAATATCGACAGTTTGTAGCTGTAGCAGTTTAAAAGCAGCACAACTCTCTAGTGCCAACATCCCACAGTAGGGGGTGCTACTGTTTTAACTACGTCTGTTGCTATATAGTCAGTGGTACAAAAACTGTGCAGACCAGAAAACGTTAATAGTGAGCAGCATGGTTTCTGTTCAGTTTTAGAGGTAGCCTTTAGACCTAGGAATATGGCAGTCTGGATAGAACAGTGAAGTAGAACTCTCGGTTTTCTAGGTTCAGTTTTATCTGATTGTTGTGCAATCTTGGGTTAAGTGAATCACTCTGCTTCGACCTACCCATCTTTAAAACGATTATATCAGCACCTACTTGGCAGGAAAATATAAGCTAAAAACACTGTCAAAAGAAGAGAATTGTAATTGCAATCTCATCGTCAGTCATTTGACCAGATTCCACTAACAAATCTGTCACGACTATCAGATCATATTCTGGTGGAGCATGAGTGAATGTCACATGTCCAACAGATAAACAGACCAGCTCATACAATAGATATGAAGTCCATACATTACTGCAGGACAGACTTCAGAAATTCTCAGACAAATTCCCAAACACAGAAAAACATTTAATAAAAATGAAAATTTTCCCTCAACCAGTTATGCCCTAAAGATGTATCTGCCAAAGAACTAAATAAATTTAATACAAACTTTATTAAATTACGCAGTTAGATTTCTAAAACTTTGTACATGTAAAAATTCATTGTAATTTCAAACAGGCAGAACTTCATTGGTCTATTAAACATTAAAACTGTAACAGCTTACACTATCCATATATAAAAGAAATGTTTCTTGAAAACCCATTAACATGCTTTAAAAAGACAAAACTGTTTATAGTTGATTTTGCAATTAAGAAATTAAGTTCTGAAATCCTTAACAGCTCTCAAACTTCAAAAACAGTCAAAGTTGCTACAGATCATAACATTCACAAACAGTTAAATAAGCTTAAACTAGCAAACATCCATGTTATTGGAATACAATTTTTAAAAAAAGTACACCAAGAGATAAAAAAGCTTATTTGAAATTTTTTTTTAAATTAAAAAGAACTTTTAAAAGACTCACATTTTTAAAAAAGCATTTTAAAATGTTAAGTTTTGGATATTTTGCATCCCCCATTTTTGGAAAGGACATGGAAAATTAAACTTCAATTTGTGGTAAATAAAGCAGTACATTGGACCTTATTTCTTGTCAATAATTTTCTGGATTTTTATATTCTAAATTTTGGTACTAGGCTCAAGCTGAAAGTATCTCTAACAAATTAATTCTCTTTACATCAGGCTCACAAATACCGCCCAATAACATCTAAACATCTGGATATATTTCAGTAGGAGAAAAATAAAGTTAAGGTATGAGTAACGTTACGTGATTTCCTTATGCTTTTCCAAAATGTGTCTACGCTTCGGATTGAGAATTCTTTGGCAAACATACAACTACAGTACTGCACCCCCCAGCTTTGATTTATCAGAACCTCTAAAGCCTTGTTAAAATGCTGAAAAGACTTCAAGACTGAAAATAGCAGTTAAGAGATTTGTGCAAATGGCTTCTGATCTACAGTAGTCAGAGCAGGAAAAACTGGACTTATTTCCCCAAGTCATGTGTTTGAAATACACAATTTCAAACTATATGATTTATAAAACATTGACAGATGTGGAACAGCTTTAAGTCACATTAAAAACCATAACTATTAGTGAGGTTAGTGGGTTTAAGGTCTACTTCAAAAGCTAGAAAGCCTCCTCCCATGTTAGAGATTGAATCATCATGACAGGCCTCACTAATCCAAGTCAACTGACATATCTGTGATATAGATATCCCTCATTTCTGGCATTTCCCTTTCAGATGTGGGAAGTACAATAATACATGTTAACAGGGGATTGGAGGGTTGGGAGTCAAATATAAAAATGTCAAGGCCTTTAAAATGTATGGTCCCTGCGATTCCCTTTTATAGAGGCAAGTAAAGCACCAGTGTAGACAATGTTTACACAATCCTTTAAAAACCAGAATATTAAGAGAATAAAATTCCACTGCATTCATGATGCATTTTCCTCCTTCAGGAGGTTCCGGAGTGGAAGGGCTAGATTCTGCTTTACAGAGATCGGAAAAATATAATTTTAGCATGGAGGCAAAAAGTAGGTGGGTCTGCTGTTTTGAATACTGGAACTGATCCCCATTTCCCTTTCAAGTCCCAAAGAGAAAAGATCACCAGGTACAAATTACGAAACTCTGCCGTTTACTATCACTGAAAACATTTCCCAATTTTAGCAACTAGGAGTAGGAATCTGGCCAGTTTTCAGTTGCTTATATTTCCTTAAGATACCAAGGAGAGAGAAGGCTAACAAAACAAGGACCTACAAACGGAGGAAGACACAAATATTTCTGGAGACCAAAATTAAGACTAAAGTGAGGACATTGTAAGTACTATCAAGCCTCAGTTGCAGATAAGTTTTCTAGTTTACCACATGAAAGATGCATATGAGGGTGCCCAATAACATTTTACAATCCTGTTTTGGAGAAAAACCGAATAGCTTAGAGTGTTAGAAATAATTAGGAAAGTCAGTGGATTGTTTTGTTACTGATCTGATTAAAGCTTCCAGGTCAGTTTTTGAAACGTGCTGATAGACCTTGGTGTACTAGCCAAGTTACAAGCAGGGTAATTACATTCCGATTGCCTACATTCTCCTGATGCATTGATTGGAAATAAAGGACTGCCAGAGACTAAACTTTTGCATGATGGTGCTAATGCTTTCCTGATCGGAGCGATCCATCACAGTTTCAGGGTTAAATGCTCTTCCCCACCCCCAGTCTTCCTCAAGGGCACCAGCTTAAAGTTTCAGACTTCCAGCTGTCACCTTCCCTGGACAACAGTGTCTCTTTCCATCCAGACTGGGAGGTTAGGTTTGCAGTTCTTCCCTCTGCATTTCAGTGGGATTTCCCCAGCAGGTCTGACCAGTTAACCTTTCTACAAGGGGTAGAACAGTGTGCACCAGTTACCAACCATCCTTCACAAAGCAAAACACATTTATTCTTAGGGTAAAAGCATTACAGAGAAAACATACAAAAAATAATAAACACTCCTATACACATGGTAAAAATTTTTCCAGAGGTCACAAGTAGTCTTATGGGGGTCCTATTAAGCCAAGATTTCTCCAATCTTTCTGCAAGGGTTGGGCCATCTTTGGACAGAAGGTCCTGTTTGCTGGATCAGAAAGGCCCTGTGTCAATTTAAACTCAAGACTTTTTATGCCAAAAGCCCTGTGCCTGTTGGTTTCCGGGAACCCAGTTTGAATGAATGCATGCAAATATCCCCAAAGGTTGGTACCTCTCCAGAGGTGTTTGCAACTAGAGTGATTCATCTTAATCACTCTCCACTGTTTTAGTTCCCTGATGGGTATACATGAAAATCCAGACTACCACAGTAAAGCTTTAACAAAATGAAATGGGTAAGTAATTGACTTAATATTTTTAAAAAGCCAATCCAAATTTCAATTGAAATTATTGAAGTCTGAAGTGATTTAAAGAGTTCAAAGCTTAGTATATAAAATGTTGTGATCCTTTCAAATGTAAGCACAATTTACATTTACATGTCCCAGCATCCGCCTGCTCATGGAGCCTGAATACTTTGAGGAACTATCACACTGTGGGAAAATGGAGCACAGACAAGTCCATTTGCCTTTCACTTGGTCCTTATAAGTGTTTTTGGCCTTGTTTGCTAATCCAGCTATTTTGGTTAGGAGGCTTGCTCTCTCCAAAGTCTCCTTGGAGTCTCTAATTGGAGTGAATTTGGGTTCTCACAATTGCTTTCATGGTCATTGCTGACACAAATAAAGGAATGGGAGTTTGCTCCAGGCTCAAGCACAAGTGCAGCAGGAAAGAAGAAAAAATTATTCAGAACCAATGTAGTTTCTGAAGTAGAGGAAAACCTCAACAAAACACAAACTTACTGCAAAGCAAAACCATGTTTCCTCCAATACAAGGGACCGTCTTGAAATAAAACTTGAGCAAGCATTTTAATTTAAATACAAATTAAACTGGAATGGACTTCTGGAAGGAGGAACAAAGGAAGAATGGGTTTAGCCTATTAACAGTAATCGGCTTCCCATTCTCAGAGGTGGAACAGCTCTTTGTGAAAGTGGGTAGCTTTCAAGATTCTTGCAAATTTTAAAAGGCAGACTAACACAACCCATTTAAACCTCAGTTCCACAATAAGTCAAAAGAACAAAGATATATACAAGGCACATGGCAGGGCAAAAGAGAGTACTGGGTGTCTACCAGTAGGTGCGGCTATCTATCTTACACAATAAATGCATGGGGAGATAAAGTTCTCCTCTTACTTATTTAGCTACTGTCCTAATACATGACTCATGACAAGCATTTTATAGAACACTGAAGCATTAGACACTAAGAGCTTCTCATTCCATCCTCTAAAAAGTCTTTCCATAGCATCTCCTATTCCTGATTACTACAGAGCAGTAGCTTGCATCAGAGTCCTACCACAGAATTTTGTCAAGTATAGATTCAAAAAACCAGGAGTCTTTCATATGCACAGTAAGTATTAGCACATCTTAAGGTCGGAGGTGGTGTATGAGGCAGCACCATTGAATCATAGGCTCAGTTCAGTTCTTCCAGTTTGAGTCTCAACTGAATTATTATTTATGGCAGAGGTATGTCTAATAGGCACTTTTAAAATGCATGTTCACCTGAGCAGATAATGATCAATGAGCTGGAATTGGAGCTGGAATCCTGAATTGTGACAGACCCTAACACGTGACTTTAGGAATCACACAAATAGCTGTCAACAGGAAGTTCACAGTAGAATTTTTTAAAAACTACACTAAGCCCCCTAATATTCCCCTGGCCTGCAGGAGGGAATACACTGATTGAGGAAACTCCATGGGCCTACACTCAAGGAGACCCAAGGTGATGTCATCTTCTCCAGACAGGGGAAACAGGCACACCTTTCCATCTGCACAGATGTCCGGTGATCCAAATGGATCTTGGACATCTGTATAAAGGAACAGCCCCTGCAAGTTACTCTCTGGGCCTTCTCCTTCTGGTAGCATGGCTCACACAACGTTAGTTTGGAGTGGGATAATGCAGTGTAGAGTCATCCTCCACTGCTCCCTTTGCATCCTACCCAAATTCTGCAAACCCTATGCACATGTACTTTGTGAGACGGGCCTGTGTGGTGGACTCAGGGATGCAAGTTCAGGAGGAGAAAGAATGACTGTTGCCTCTTCTTTCCTTATGCGGCCATCATTTCCTCTGTGCAAAATAGCTATTGCCCTGCATAAACTGAACTACAATGAGTATGCAGTATATACACATAAGGATTTTTTTTTTGTATACAGATATTGCCTATAGTCTCGCTATTAGTGGATGCCTTGGCCAATACACATTTTAAAAGATACCTGAAGGAGTTAAGCCATAATATAGTCACAAAAACATTAATATTTTAATACACTTGTTTTTCATACCATGGATGTATATGACACCTCAATACTACACTTACAGATATTTGAACATTAGGGAATTTCATTCAGATTTTCTGGACTGTACCTTGATTGCAGTTCAGAGTCCTAAAACCAAATCAAAACAGTTTGAAAAACCTATAATTATACAAATCAGAAGAAAATTTGGAATTTCAGTTTATCAGCTCTCGACTGGCTAAACACTAGCGATAATTTCTTCTCGTTTGAAAAAATAATTCTTTTTTTTTTTTAAATAATTACAGTGTATCTGAATGTTCTATACAATTTGCCCAAAGTTGCAGCTTTTCCTGTTCTTCTCACTGTAAACATTACAATTTGGGCAAGATGACCCCTAGTTGTCATCTCATGGTCCTTACTCTCTTGCTTTATTTCAGATTTCAATGGGACTCTAAACAGGTGCGCGGTCTCCGTGCAGGATCAGAGCCTTCAAAATGGAAGCATAATCAATCAAAACCCAGAAAACTATTTATTCACCTTTGTAACATAACAAAACTTATTTAAACTGAAGTGGTGTTGGGGTGTGGGTGAGAGAAAATGGGGAAAGATTCACGGCCATACCAAAGAAACCCACACATCAGTTTTCAGCATGGAGGGGATTCTGATGGATATCTAAGCCCCTGGGAACAGTGGGGTTAGTAGCATAAGTTTATAGGACTTCACAAACTCTGCAGAGTTTACTTGAGGGAGGAGGATGTGCAGGGTTTGGGAGTAATTCAACCCTTACAGAGCCATATCAGATCAACTCAGACCCCAGAATGAGACAGTCACTTCCTGCCCTTCTGGTTCCAAGGAGAAAGCCCAGAAATCTTTAACCCGAGAGGTCTTTAGGAGCGCTCATTCCCTTCCCCCAGTAGCAATGGGGAAAGGTTTATTTTTGCTCTTTATTTCAATGATCGTTCTTAGCATTAAGCAAACGGTTTTTCTGAGTTGTTAAAATGCAATACTGGAAGCTAGCACTGGATGGTATGTTTTGTTTTTGTAAGGGTTGTTTAGGGAAAAGACCTGGGAGAAAAGGAAAGTCAAACAATAAGCTGACGAAAGAGGGTACCTATACCTTGGCTATAAAAAACTGCATCTAACTCCTGCTAAAGCCAGGAACCAGAATTCTCCATCTTACCCCTCAGTGTATGCCAGTGATATGCATGTTAGAAGTACTAGAGATAGCATTAACCGAACAAATCTATCATAGTAAGTGCCAAGTAATATGGCAGCAATAGAACTCCCATAATTATGGCAAAACAGACAATCAAGGCATGATAATGTGTTCATAGACCATCTATTTACATCAGAATCATGTGGGTTTTTTCCTTTTAACACACTAAACTACAAGTATTTGATTCCTAAAGAAAGGGTCCAAGTTTAAAAAAAAAAAAAAAAAAAAAGATGAACAGAAGAACAGCTATACTGGGTCAGACCAAAGATCCATGTGGCCCAGTATCATGTCTTCCAGCAGTGGCCAGTGCCAGGTGTTTCAGAGAGAATGACCAGACAGGTAATCATCAAGTGATCCATCCCCTCTCACCCATTCCCAGCTTCTGGCCAGCACAGAAGTAAAGCTCACTAACTTTTTGTAGTTCCATGGACAGCACAGTCATATCACAGTGGATAGTTTTCTTTCTATTTTAATTTGACAAACTGGTATGAATAGGTTAGTTTCAAAACTATTGGAATTCAGAAGGATTCATATTAGTTTTCTTTTTATTTACCTACTGAATAACTGATATAGTTAAAGAGTAGTTCTAACCAGGAAAAAAACTAATAACGGCAATGAAGGGTCCATGTTTATTAGCTCAGTAATCTCCTGACCACATTTATTCCATTCATATTAAAAAAATCGTTTAACTTGCTGGGAAGATTCTCCACATGGAATTTAACTGGCCAAACTGTTAATGATGTGTCACTAGAATAGAATTTTGCTCACACTCTCATAGCACTGCTGTGCCATTGTAGGGAGCTGAAGTAAAGAAGTAGAAAAATATTTTTCCCAAAAAAGTGCACAACTCTAAATAACCAAGACGCAGACATATTGAGTAAGGTAATGCCATTTTACATAGTTCCTTTCCTGGCCATAACCCAACGTTAAAGTATTAGGAAATTAGTAGTGAAAATTTGAGGTTAAAGTCTGAGGGAAACCTCTAAATGTGGGTAAATATTTAGACAAAAATAATGCTCAGCACTCTCATTTTTAAGGTTAAAGATGTTGAGCAATGTTTCCCTATATTTGCTTAGAATCTCCTTTGATTGTGTGGCACACATTGTGATTTTTCTTTAATAAAGAATGTACCATGCATAATATCCTTGTACAGACTGGGCAGTTTGCACTCAGTTACTGCTTGCAAAACAAATCCCTCAGAATTCCATTACGATAGTTTATGCTACACATGCAGCATTCACATTTCGCTGATAATTGGGTCTGTTTTGAATTGTACTACAATTTAGCTTCTGTAGAAATCTGAAGTTAAAAAAGACAAAAACAGCATTTCCTTTAACAATATTTAGTATCTCTGAATATTTCAGATATATGTCTCCTAGCGCTCCATATGATCAATTGTACTTAAAAGGTGCCTTTCAGTTTACATAATAAATATTTCTATTGCCATTGGTATGTTTCTCTATCATGCCATATTTGTAATAACTTAATATATATACATATTGAGTAATTTAATATATTTAGAAACCTTTGAGCAGATACATTGCCCAACTCCCACCCCAGTCAAACATTTACTTGTTTTCTACTACTGAAGTAGTACTTTAGGTGCATTTGTGGAGAAAGTTATCTGGAGACAGGCATCAAGACTTGTGTGAAGTATAAAAGGATAGTTTGAATTTGAATCACCACCGTTGTAAATGGCATCAGTAATGAAAAGTATAACAACAAATACATTTCCTTTTGTTACAAGGTATCTGACATTCCACAGGAGGGAAAGATACACTTTGCACTAGGTTTGGCTTTGCTCTTCTTGCCAATAAAGTCAGATGGTCAGTTATTCTACAACAGTTTTATTTATTCCAGTTTATGTATCATCACCCATATTTTCCCCACCCTTCTGCATCAGTGTTGCAACACTGTCTTTCAGTAGATTTGTTCCTTGGAGTTACATTTTTGTTCAGACAGTTAAAAAACATGGTTAAAAAAGAGGAAGTCTTCAGATCTATGTTTCATCTGACAAGAGGTAACTAACCAGCATGTTAAGACACCTGATTGACAGACTTATTTCTCCAGCAAAGTGACTGAAGTATTTGTAACGATCGCGCTTGTGAAGTCTCACACTGAGAATTGTCGGGTTGGACAGCAGAGAGGTGCTATGAGAGTCCACAGGTAGAGTAGGACACACACCCAACATGACGCCATCTTAATCCAGAAGATGGACCAGGTTCCACTGAAGAATTTTTCAATCTCAGCACTTTCATAACTGTTAAAGAGATGAAGGGAAAAGGTGACAAGAAATGCAGTAAGCGGTTACACTCACCGTTCCTATTTTAGATTTGTTTCCCTCTGCTCATTTTGAGACCATTACTGACCGCCAGCAACCTAATTTTGAACCTGGGAGCAGATGAACAGCTCTTTGAACAGCTCTGTTCAGGTAACAGCCAGGACAGACCTGCTTATTCTCTCCCTCTCTCAACCAGGAGGCAAGATGTAACCGCTCCAGTTTTGGGTATTTCAACCGTACTCCTACATTGAGAGCCGTCCAGTAACATTACATGAATGTTAAGATTTTTCCATGAAATTTACTTACTGGAACCAGTGAGTTACTGTCATCATCACGTAGAGAGAAGCCAAGAAGAAAACAAAGTGGAAGTAGGCATAGCTGTATACTGTGCCTCTCTTTTCATCATATATTACAGTCTGACCGCCCCTTTCTTCAACATGCTCTTCGGTGTCAGCTGTATGAAACAGGGAACAAGAAGTTGTTTCACACAAGAATGGAAACAGTGGTAGAGTTCACATCCTATAGATCTAATTAAAATGAACAATTTTAGGCCCAGTTCAGTTCAATATCCTTATCCAGCAGAAAACTTAAGCATACTCTTGACTTCAGGCACATGCTTAAGTTGCATTGAAGTGAATGGAATTTAAGCACGTTTAAGTATTGTCATGAATTCAGGCGTTTTAACTTGATCACAGGATCCTGAGCTTCCTCACTTTGTACTAGGTCTCAGTCCATGGAGTACTCCCTTGCTGATACCAAAGTGAGAGTCCCAACACCACTGGGTCTTCTGACAGAGGGGGCAACAATTGGTACTCCATTTGTTGTTGTTCCTACACCCAGGCAGAGAGCAAAGGCTCAATACAGGAGAAGAGCACAGAATGCGGAGCACACAAATCTGGCAGCGACAGCAGGACACCCCCTTTTGAAAGTATGTTAAGAGCAGCTACTCCCCTTTCACACCTTTTTTTTATTTCATATAATGCAAGAGGAGAGATTGTGTGGTTAAAGTATTTAAATTTTTTTAAATGACAAAATTGTATAGATTTTAAAATAAATATTTAAGGCTAAAGCATTCCAGAGTGGTCTTAGTTTTTGAATAATTTTTTCCAATGCATTTCATGCTGCTGAAGAAGTTTCAATTTCCACAGAATTTAGGACACACGCACCTCTGTATATACTGGGCCTGGCCTTAGTTATACTCTTGTGGTTTGGGCTAAAAGGAACAAGCAATGCTAAGCAAAATGTATAAGGAATGCATAGTTACCATCTCCATCTGGTGCACAGCAAAAGCAGCAACGAGCTACCTATAAGGCAGACATAAAGTTAACAAAGAGGTTTCATGCAACAAAAGAGAAACAGATCAGCAGATTAAGTCAGCCTGTTGTGCCTAAATTACAAATACTAATTTATAAAAACATTGCTTTGTATATTTGCAACAGACAACACAACTAAAGCCTCAATCAGGAACAGACAAGCAATTTACAGCAATAGACCTTTTGGAAGTTAGGCAGCTACTCTATCTTGGTGTTAATTAACCATTTATGGAGAATTATACTGCATGTATCTATTTTACATAATCTAAGACCAATATTCAAATGACAAGAGGATAGTGTAGCTATAGTGGAGTAATGCTGCAAAATGGCTGTGTACAGTAGTTCCTTCTTCAGACCTAAGTCACGGGTGTTTTTAAAAGTAACATTTCTTTATAGAAATGAGAATGTAAGGAATATTAGAGATTCTGACTACATTCAGCAAGACTGATTATACAAATATAAGCATCAAACTTAAATAGACATTTGCAAGGTTGGAGCCAGCAGTAGTAAACTGAAAGTTACTTTATCTTCATACCATTTTATGTAAGCAAGGGGTTTTTGTTTTGTTTTTTTGGTGGACAAGTCTCATTTCTCAGTCTAGAAACTAGTACTTCTCTGGTGGCACAATGACACTCCTGAAATGCATTTGGGTACTGCCGCATGTTTTCCTATTTCCACTGCCTGCTAATATAGAACATTGCACTTTGATTGTGTGTTTTCCCAGTATTTCTCTTCTTGTGCACAATTCCACAAAATACGTATTTACTCTGCATTTTCTATATTACATCTCCAACATCTGTTGTTCTCGGATAGTTTCGGTTTCATTTTGGGGGAGGTGGTGTTCTGTTTTGGAGTCTAATAAAGTATACATACCAAGAAATTATGTTGTACTTTAAGATTTGTGATCTTTATACTTCAGTTTAATAGATAAGGATTTTCACACTCGCTTTGTATGATTAAATACTCTCTGGATGCAAAAGATGATAAAAAGACTAGCAAAGTTCCTGCTTAAGAGATTGGCCGAGTTTACTGAAACAGGAGAATAAATGCTCTTCCTATAGTTTGGTTTAACAGGGTTCTTTACTTTTTTAAGTTAAATTTGGACAAGAACTATTGCCTTTCGCTTGCATTATTATTTGGCTATATCAAGATCCTGAAGTTAATGCCAGGCTCCTCCAAAGAAAGTGTTTTTTCTTTGGATACATGTGTCAGAAATTCAGGCCTTGCACATTAAGTGATGTAATTAGTACTGTTGGCATGCATACAAATAGGCATTCAGAGCAATTAATTATCTCTAGTTTAGGTACAGAAAGACTTTCTGTATAAATAGATGCAGCTGCAGAATTATGTTTACATTTCTTGTCAAAAGACAAAGGTCCTTTACCTCACGGAAGACAATCAGAATGGAATTAATTAGCCATTGCCCGTCATTGCTTTATATTCACATGCAACAGTCCCCATATAACTCTCTAAAACCAAGGGCTTGTCTGCACTTACATTTTATAGCGCTGTAACTTCCTGGCTCAGAGATGTGAAATATCACCCCCGAGCGCAGCAAGTCTGAGCGCTTTAAAGCACAAGTGTAGACAGGCTCCCAGCACTCGGAGCTAATCCCCTCGTGGAGGTGGATTACCAGGAGTGCTGGGAGAACTCCCCCCCCCCAGCGCTCACGCGTGACCACACTCGCACTTCAAAGCACTGCTGCGGGAGTGCTCCCGTGACAGCGCTTTGAAGTTTCCAGTGTAGCCATGCTCCCAATGATTTAGAAATAACTCTACTGTTGAGTGCTCAGTTCAACCTTCTCAGACAAATGGACCAGGGTTACCAGGCTAAGACTGGCTGTGCCAGCCAGTGCCTTTCGCTTCCCATTCAGCAATTTGCATTCTAACATACAATAAAGGTTGAACTGCTTCAACTCTCACGCTAGCAAGACAAGACTGGGGTATGAAGCAACCCAAGTGCTATTGTGGGTCAAAGTATGCACAACTGATTGGTAAGGAGGCAAAAAATGTTCATTGGGATCCAGTACAGAGGGTCATCATTAAGGTTGTGTGTCTATGTGCCTTGAGTACCAGGCACACATGATTGAAGTACAGTGATTTTGCAAAATGGAGTGCTAATAATATCTATTTACTATTCAGCCATAAGCAATAGTTACTATTTTTCAAAGATTTATGTGAGTACTACCTGCATGTATGTTATATACTCACAGTTAATTACTGTAGTATTTTTACATACTTATCTTTGCAACCAAGAAAGGCTAGAAACACCACTTTTTAAAGATGACAGTATGAAAGCTTAGATTCTGTAGAAAGTTTCATGACACCCAGAAAGAAGCTTTTACAATACATAGGATTGGCTCTAAGTCTTGATATACAAAAAAAGATAAATTTGAAGTATGTAGCTTGACCCACTTAGACAGCAGAGCGCACAAATTCTGAGTGAACATATTGGAAAAGCTGATTTTTTTTAATGCTCAGAGTTAAGTGGGTTGAATTATTTTGCTCAAGATTTCCCACAGAATTCACATTTGGGATAAGAGCAAACACGGATATTTCTACCTCAGATGGAAGCTACAGCAACTAAAATGAGGGGACTAGAACGGAAGTGGGAATTCAGTCTTCCATACTGGGAGCTGACAACATCTGTTAGACATTTGTGAAGCGAACAAACGTACGTATGCAATAGAATGGCTTATTTTTACCACATATAGCATGACAATGGGGGAAGAGAAACAAAACAAAGTGTGTTAGTGGTTTTGGGTGGGAAGAGATTAAGAAACCCTGATGTGGAGCACTAATACTTTTGATCACGTTTTACTGCTTTTGAATTTTCTCAACTGCCCTGTTCTGCAACTAAAATATAATGATCTCATCTTTGCCTATATTCCTAATAAATATTTCTTTTCTGCCTCTAACTGAGAGGAAGTGAGCTTCTGGAGAACAGTTACACCCCAGTTTAATGCAAACTCTGTCATCACAGGAAGTCTGCCGAATGCTAGAGAAAAAAAACTGCAAGGACAGTGGCATACTATTTGGGACACATTAGGCAAGTCCTCTGAGGGACCAGCAGGAGCTGTGAGGAGCCAGCCCAGGCAGTAAAGACTCAGGAAATTCCACCTTTCCTGACAGGAAGAACATGTGGCGTGTGAATAGGCTTTTTACGTAGCTATCTGTAACAGAGTGGCTTGTCCCTGAAGGCCTGGAGCCAGCCAACCCTAGTTATTCAGAAGGCACACCTGAGTAGGGGTCAGCTGATTACCTTATTAAAAAGCAGCAGGACAAGGGGAGGGGGCGGGGCGGGGAGGGAGAGGATGGGAGGAGAATGACGATGTGCTCAGGGAGAAGACACCAGCATGAAGCCGGAGGGAGAGACGTCAGCAAAGGCCTGCCAAGGCAGGGAATGGCAGCTGGGAGTGAGCAGGCTCCAACAGAGAACCCTAAATTATTAAGAAGGGACCAGGCTCCAGGTAGGGAATTTGGTATGAATAGGTTAGTTTCAAATCTATTGGAATTCAGAAGGATTTATCTTAGTTTTCTTTTTATTTATCTACTGAATAACTGATAGAATTTAAAGAGTAGCTGTAACCAGGAAAAAAACAAAAACTAATAATGGCAATGAGGGGTCCCAGGAAGACTGGGAGCACAGACTTGATGGGGATTTGAGAACTTTGGGGCTGGATTTATTACAACAATACAATCATTCCCAAAACAAAGAAGGGCATCGCTGAACTACAGAAGTGTTGCATGGAGTTCTTCAGGGGGCCTGAAGAGGGGAAACAGAAGCAGAGTCCTGCAGAGCCACTTGTGGCCACAAGGGGTTGCTCAAGAGGCAGCTAACCCTTTTATACCATCCTTATAAGTTCTGGTTGCAAATTCTAAATGAACAATACATACAATCAGAAGACAGACAGCTTGAAAGTGAGCCCCGAGATGGTATGGTGGGTAGAAGCAGTTTGTTGCAGTTTGTTACAGTTCAGGGGAATAGTTAACTCACTTCAGTTTCAGGCGTTGCATATATTCCTCTCAGTGCTTCAGAGCTTGCACGAGTTGTTGAGGTCAAACTAGGATCAAAGAGAAGACAGCACCATAACATGCAGCGTAAGTATGTTTCCTGTGATGCTGAGAAATCTCATGGGGAACGTCTACACCGGCAGAAGGAACGAGCCTCCCAGCCCAAGCAGTGTGCCAGCAATGGCACTGTGGATGCTGTGGCTCGAGCTGCAGCTTGTGCTCTCAAGCCCCTGGGCCTGAGCTTGGGTGACTAGGTCAAATGCCCACCAGAGCCACCGCCACACTGCTGAGTTTAGCGTGTGCCAAGTCAAATGAACCGAGCACGAGCCTGTGTAACCCCAGACTGGGAGTCTCGCTCTCAGCTGCAGTGTAGACATACCCTAAGGATCCAGTCCCTCAACAACTGAAGTAAGTGATAACACAGGATGTAAAGTCAAGTGCTAAGTCTGTGAAAGGTTTGTTCTGTGCAAGTAGAAATCTACAGGACAGATCACCACCAGACTCATTCCGTAATCATGAACTTAAAAATAAACTAGACAACTTCTATTAATGTCAATGCACCACCCAGCAATCAACTTAAAAGCTAAACACACACAAATTTGCATTTCAGAACAGGTTCTCCCTGCTATGCATGACGGGTGTTTCGCCTTTCCCAGACTAGTTTTACAGCAATTACTTTGACCAATCCTGTAAACAAAGACCACAGTCACAGCCTTGCAGATGAGACAAACTCATAATATTTATGAGCTATTTGCTAGGAAGACTATTTATACCATTATTATTCCATTTCCTGTAAATTGTTGGGGGAATCCTTCCCAGTTTCCACCCAACTTGTCTCTGAAACCAGCTCTTATTTTGAGAGAGGAAGGATGGCTATGTTACACAAACTCTCCATGACCCACACTGAAATGTTAACACAGAAACATACTATACCCCTTGTTTCCTTCCTACCATTTAGAGTATAGGTTCTCATACTGAGGAGGAGTTTCTCATTTAGTTCTGAACATGGTGGTATTTGTTGTTCTGCTCTTCCTGAGAGAATGCTCCATAGCCTAGTTTCAACTCCTCTAAAAAGTCTGTCTTCCACACTGACAAATCTTTCCCTATGGATTGAAAGATTCATTGTTCCAGTGGAAAGTAGACGTAATTGGTCATTGCAATAAATCAAACCTGGATCATGAATACATGGATTCATGGCAAGATCCTTGTCTGATAGGAGTTACCAGAATAGTGCGGTTTCTCTGGATGGGAGGACTTGTTGCACCACCTCTTCTAAGACAGCCAAATTCTTGGATGATGGAGATTTGAACTGGACTCTTATTCAGTGCGGAGCCAATGCAAAGATCAGTGCATTGCAGTTACAGTGACATGGCAACTTGTGTTGTGAAGCAATTGGGAGTTTTTTCCTGGTACATTCCTAAATAGGAGTTGCAATAGTATAACTCAGACACCACAAATGCAGAGACCTACTATGCCCAGATTCAGGTCTGACAGGAAATACCAAGGTAGGCTGGTTTCTCCAGATATTAGGACTGCCCCACCTTGTTCAAATGCAGTCTCAATGCCACCCCCAAAGAGGTGCTTTTAGAGCAGGATAAGAATCTGACACACCTCCCTCTACACACAGATTAAAAGGTTTTGTAAGGGATTTCTGCTTTTTAATATGATGTGTATTTCATATAATTTTTTTTAAATGGGCATGTTATTGCTGTACCAGAGCAGCTGTTTACTTGTATTTACTTTCCACATCAACATATTTCTTCAGCTGAGCTAAATTTTAAGAATAAATCATAAAGCTATTAGAATTTCTTTAAAAAGACTGCTGGTAAAAGTTCTCTCTAAACAAAGTGTCTTTCACTACATTACTAACACCACCCTTTCTATTACTGAACATCAATATTAAAAAACTAAAATAAAGAAATCTAAATTACAGTTGAACCTCAGAGTTACGAACCAACCAGTCAACCCCAGACCTCATTTGGAACTAGAAGTACACAAACTAGCAGCAGAGATAAAAAAAAAGAGCAAATACAGTACAGTACTGTGTTAAATGTAAACGACTTAAAAAAAGAAAAAGAAAAAGGGAAAGCAGCATTTTTCTTCCGCATAGTAAACTTTCAAAACTGTATTAAGTCAATGTTCAGTTCATTTTTGAAAAAAAAAAAAAACCACTAACGTTTTGTTCAGAGTTACGAGCAACCTCCATTCCCAGGGTGCTTGTAACTCTACTGTACTTTTCACTGTTTGCCTTTTTTGCATTTCTCTTATGGACAACCAAATAGACTAATCGGTTTCAGGAGGGCTTCTAGTCAATTTCACATTCAGAATCTCAGACACTAGTAGTGCTTGATCACATACATATGAAAGACATAACTCAATTAATTATGCACATTGCATTTAGGAAGTTTATTAGACTGAGGTCCTTTACATGGGTGGCGATGGATGGAGAGCAACACCACACTACCCGGCAGTTTGCCACACAGTTAAAAACCACAAACTATGTCCAAATTACTATCAGAAAAGCCACTACTTGGCAGTACTTTCTGTAGAATTTAAGACTTTGTGAAAAAGTGATGTTTCTGGTCTTGATGATTAAGAAAGTTTTCAAATGTGAACAAAGGCAGTGTTGTCTTTCCGCAGTCAGACCCATTAAACCAGCTATGTCTGCAGACTCAGGAAGGCAATGCTTCACTGGTTCATGTTTGGAATTTCTTCCACCAGTAGATGTGGATCCTTTTCATAAAATGCTAAATCATCATTAGGTTTCAGGGTTGCCTATTTCATCACTGATCATTTTAGAGAAGAAACATCCAGCCACTCCGGGACTGTGGGAAAGTATGATCAGATTAATTTCCCTCCTTTTGTATAATTCTACCTCTAGCAATTGCTTTGCATTTGCATTGCACACATTATAAAATCTTAATCTGTTTGATCCCCACATTTAATGTACCAGTAAGGTAATTTAAAAAAACAAAACCAAAGACTTACCAAGAATATAAAATGCAACAAAACAGAAGAGTAGTGCCCAATCCAGTAACCAGGTTCTCATCTCTGGGCAAACCCTGGCTAAAATCAGGTACGCAGATTGTAATGTTCTTATGGTTCTCATCCAGGACTTAAAACACAAAACAAACATAAGTTCATTTGACTTCAGATTAAAGAAAAAAATGTGTTTCCCGAAACGTCAAGAACAATCTTTTTTAGAAAGATTATCTAGGCTGGGAGGCTGAAATTAGACTTGCCAGATGTGTTGTTTCTTGAAGGGCAGAACTACAATAAACTTCAGCACTTTGCTGGCTCACCAGGACAGAGTGGAGAAATGTCAGGCCATGGGGTAGTTCTTAAAATCCCAGCTTCTCTGCTGGGCTGTTCACCAACACTTCACCTCCCCACTCTTTTGGAGGGCCAACTGACAGCTGAAGAAGTTTAAAATTATACATACATTATAAATGTGTTACTGTTTGTAAAGCTGGGGTCACATTATCCTGTATAATGTCTGTTTAAGACAGGGGTGTTTTAAGGGCAGCCCAACTGCCAAATATAGGCTCAATGAGGTCTAAAATATGGCCTGTGGCAACTCCACTCCTGAAATGATGCACTGAGGACAAAGAACTACACTGGTTATGGGCATATTTTATTTTAAAATGTATGCAGGTTAGCTGCTGCCTTCAGGTTCCTGGCAAACTGCCAGCTAGTCCTTGGTGTCAAAGAGAAGAGGTTCTCTTGCTTGACAAATATATTTGCTTTGAGACATATTTTTAACACCTCCAGCCCAGTGCATGCTCTTGCAAATGCAATAGTTTTCTTGCCTATAAATTGGGTATCTCATTCAGATTTACCAGCGTGTAACATTCTCCAATTCTCCTTCTGACAGGGGGACAGCCTAGACAGATGAAAGCCTACACATCACTAAGTCCTTCATCACAGTTCCTTTTCTAGTTAGTGCTATTCTAGTAAAAAGGAGGTAATTCTTAACAAGACTAGCCTAAATTGCAGAGGTTAGAGCAGTGATGGGCAACCTTCAGCCTGAGGGCCGCATGCAGTCCATCAGGGTAATCTGATTGTGGGCTGCGAGACATTATGCTGACATTGACCATCCACAGGCACCGCCCCCTAGAGCTCCCAGTGGCCACAGTTCGCCACTCCTGGCCAATGGGACCTGCGGGAAGCAGCAGCAGGCCGCAGGGATGTGCTGGCTGCTGCTTTCCACAGCTCCCATTGGCCAGGAACAGAGAACTGCAGCCACTGGGAGCTGCGGGGGATGGTGCCTCCGGACGGTCAACGTCAGCATAATGTCTCACGGCCTGCAATCAGATTACCCTGATGGGCTGCAGGTTGCCTACCACTGGGTTAGAGGAAAGGCTTTAGTGCAATTCATCTGAATCACAGAAATTTATTTTGGAGCTTGGAAAATGGCTCTCTGTTCACTAGATTCATCAGTCTGGATGGATTCCAAAAAGGAATTCCTTGAGAGAAAAATGGAGACAAACCAAATTTTAAAAGAGCCCAATGTTAGAAAAACTATAGCAAGGTTTTTTGGCATCTGGAGATGCTCTGTAAATGTGAGGCACAATGTGTTTGAATTAGCACGTGAAGAGGTACAAGGACACCCATATCTGGTTAGGATTAATCTTAATTTTTTATACTCCGTGAACAGCAACTGTAGTACTACTCAAATGCCCTTGAAGCAAAAGATTTGAGAGTAATTTTTCACATGAAAGGGAAAATGGGGTCAAAAACTAGGTAATTTGCTTGGTTCCATGCTCCCAATTAACAAATCTAGCACATCAATTATAGGTAGGACCCTACCAAATTCACGGCCATGAAAAGAACTTCACAGACTGGTTTCAGAGTGACAGCCGTGTTAGTCTGTATTCGTAAAAAGAAAAGGAGGACTCGTGGCACCTTAGAGACGAACAAATTTATTTGAGCATAAGCTTTCGTGAGCTACAGCTCACTTCATCGGATGCGTACTGTGGAAAGTGTAGAAGATCTTTTTATATACGCACAAAGCATGAAAAAATACCTCCTCCCACCCCACTCTCCTGCTGGTAATAGCTTATCTAAAGTGATCACTCTCCTTACAATGTGTATGATAATCAAGTTGGGCCACTTCCAGCACAAACCCTTACTTCTGTGATGCCTTCAAAGCGGCGGCTAGCTCTGAAGGCAGAATCCTGCCAGCTGCAGTGCAGAAGTAAGGGTGGCTATACCATACCATACCATCCCATCTTACTTTTGGGATGCTGCTGCTCAGCTCTGAAGGAGCAGTACTGCAACCCCCCCATCTCCCACAACTCCTTTTTGGGACAGGACCCCTACAATTAAAACACTGAAATTTCAGATTTAAATAGCTGAAATCATGTAATTTACCATTTTTTAAAATCCTATGACCGCAAAATTGATCAAAATGGACCATAAATTTGGTAGGGTCCTAATTATAGGAGGTCTTATTGTAATGGCAGCTAAAATAGCAACGGGAGGAGGAGGGGGTGGAAATCTACTGGATAGAAGTGAAAAAAGGGCAGACAAAAGTGTCCAGTCTGAAACGAAAGAAGGCTATACATCTTTCTGGTTGTTATTGCATGCATTGGCCTACATCCTATACCAGTCTCTTCTGCCAAAGCTAGCATCTTGCACTGAACTCATGACCATGCAGGATTTGTTTGGCATGATAATCTAAAGGCCTAATCACATTCACTTTTGATGCAGCAGGTCTTAAAGGACCTTAATAAAGCTCAAGATAACTTACTAGTTTCTGGTGGTTTGCTTGACAGAGATGAGAAGGTGAGATACATGACATAGCAGCTGATAACTCCTGACTGCAACAAACCAGAGTGTGGCTGGCCTTTAGAGAAAAAAAGGTAAGATACTGAAGCATTTTTATGGGCTTTAACAACAGAAATTCAAATGGTCAAAGTATGTTCCACATGGGAAATATTATTTAATCCTTTGCCTATGCACTTTAGAAAGTTTCCAGACAGACGAGGTAGGTATTTCCTCTGAAGGATATAAGAAAACATCCCTTTCTCCACTGGCTGCTCCAGGGAGGTTAAGATCCCCAAACCAATAAGAAATAAACACTGTTTTGGCCAACCATACCAAGCTCAAAAACAATATTCACACCTGGTGTAAGTTACTGGCAGACTTAACAATAGCTATAATTGCTTATCATTTAACTTTGAAATTACTTGAAACACTGATGTATCTCCAGTCCCAATGCATGAAAGATGCCACAAAAAACAAAATTTTTGTTGAAACACGAAGTGTGATGTGAAAAAGAACAAAAATTAGAATGGTTGTGAATTGTTCCAGCCCTAGTCTCAAAAAACAGATAGATGGTAACTGTACGACGGTGAGAAATGAGCATGAAATCAGAGCTGAATGGGTTTGAATGCTATTCTCTTAACAATGCTATTACAGCAAAGGTAGCGTAAGTGGCTCCATACCAAGCATGTCTATGCATGTGAAACCTCTGCTATGTGTCCACCCGATCAGGGAATTGTATCAAAGATCCTGGCATGCTTGTCATAGAAATCACAGAAATGTAGGACTCAAAGGGACCTCGATAGGTCATCTAGCCCAGTCCCCCACACTGAGGCAGGACTAAGTATTATCTAGACCATCCTGACAGGTGTTGGTCAAACTTGCTCTTAAAAACCTCCAATGATGGATATTCCACGACCTCCCTAGGTAATCTGTTCTATTGCTTAACTACCCTGACAGTTAGCAAGTTTTTCCTGGTGTCCAACCTAAACCGTCCTTGCTGCAATTTAAGCCCCTTCTTTTCCTGTTCTCGGTGGATAAGGAGAACAATTTATAAAAAGGAGACTGATAACAAACTTCTACAACTTGAAGTTTTAGGTCCCACTACCCCTCAGTCTTCTCTTCTCCAGACTAAACAAACCCAACTATTTTTAAGCTTCCCTCTTATGTCATGTTTTCTAGACCTTTAATCATGTTTGTTGCTCTCCTCTGGACTTTTGCCAATTTGTCCACATCTTTTCCAAAGTGTAGTGCTCAGTACTCTATGTGAGGCCTTATCAGTGCTGAGTAGAACGGAAGAATTACTTCTCGTGTTTTGCTTACAATACTCCTGCTAAAGAATGATGCTCGCTTTTTTTGCAACACTATTACATTGTTGACTCATATTTAGCTTGTGACCCCCAGATCCTTCTCTGAAGTACTCTTTTCTAGGCAGGAAGGAATAATCATGAAGGGACTACGTACAGTACTTTGCATTTGTCCTTACTGAATTTCATCCTATTTATTTCAGGCCATTTCTACAGTTTGTCAAGATCATTTTGATTTCTAATCCTGTCCTCCTAAGCACTTGCAAACTGTCTCAGCTTGGTATCATCTGCAAACCTTTACAAGTGTACTCTTTAGCCCATTATCCAAATCATGTATGAAGATATTGTCTAGAACTGGACCCAGATCCCGGCAGGACCTACTCAATATACCCTTCCAGCTTGATTGTGAACCACTGATATCTACTCTCTGAGTACGCTTTTCCAACAAGTTGCATACCCACCTTATAGTACGTTCATCTAGCCTATATTTCCCTAGTTTATGAGGAGATCATGTGAGGCAGTATCAAAAGCCTTACTAAAGTCAAGATACATCACATCTACTGCTTCCCCTCTATGGACAAGGCTTGTTACTCTATCAAAGAAGGACATTGCGATGGTTTGACATAATTTGTTCTTGACAAATCCATGTTTACCGTTACTTATCACCTTATTATCTTCTAGGTGCTTACAAATTGATTATCTGTTCCATTATTTTTCTGCCTGGCCTATAATACAGTGGGTTGTCCTTATTCCCCTTTTTATAGATCGGTACTATATTTGCCCTTTTCCAGTCCTCTGGGGTCTCTCACTTCCACCATGAGTTTTCAAACACAAATTGCTAATGGCTCAGATCTTTTCAGCCAGTCCTTAAGTATTCGAGGACGTATTTTATCCGGCCCTGCTGAATTGAAGATATTTAACTTGCCTTTAAGTAATTCTTAACTTGTTCTTTTCCTATTTTAGCCTCAGATCCTACCCCATTTACACTGATGTTCACTATGTTGTCTAACGTAGGTTAGTCATTTGATCACCGCTAACCATTTTGGTGAAAAACGGAAACAAAAAAGGCATTGCCACTGCTGCATTTTCTGTTATTGTCTTTCCTGCCTTGTTGAATGATGGGCATATCCTGTCTTTGGTCTTCCTCTTGCTTCTCATGTATTTGTAAAATGTTGTCTTGTTACCATTTATGTCCCAAGCTAGTTTAAGCTTTTTTTTGGCCGTGGCTTTTCTAAACTTGTGTTGGTTTTTTTATATTCATCCTTTGTAATTTGACTTACTTTTTGTATGATTCTCTCTGATTTTCAGGATATTGAAGATCTCCTGGTCAAGCCAGGGTGGTCTCTTACATCCTTCCTAACTTTTTTATGCGTTGCGGTACTTCGCTCTTGTGCCCTTAATAGCTCTTTAGAAAACAGTCATCTCTTCTGACCTCGTTTCCCATGCGATCTTACCTACCAATTCTGAGTTTACTACAGTTTGCCTTCTTGAAATCTATTGTCTTTATTCTTCTGTTTTCCTTCCTACCATTCCTTCCAATCATGAACTCTATCATTTCATGATCATTTTCACCCAAGCTGCCATCCACTTTCAAATTTTCAGCTACTTCCTCCCTGTTTGTCAGAATCAAATCTAGAATAGCCTCTCCCCTAATCACTTTCTCCACCTTCTCTAATAAGGCGTCTTCAATGTATTCCAGTAATTTGTTGGATAATCTGTGCCCTGTGGTAATATTTTCCCAACAGATGCCAGGGTAGTTGAAGTCCCCCATCACCACCAAGTTTTGTGTTTTGAATGATTGTCAGTTGTTTAAAAAAAAAAAAAAAAAAAGCCTAATCCACTTATTCCTCCTGGTTAGGTGGTGATCTGTAGTAGACCCCTACCATCACATCACCCTTGTTTTGTACCCCTTTTATCCTTACCCTTATGCTGTCATGCTTAGTGACACGGGTCTGAGAGGCGATGGTATGGATTTTATGGAGACAGAGTGACATAAAAGCTAACTCAAAACACAGAGAGAGAGAGAGACCGAGACAGACACATGCGAGAAAGGTATACACACACTGCGTCAGTACCCGATGACATCAGCCTTGCCAAGTCTGATAACCAGAAGTAGGCTCCAGAGAACTCTCAAGGTGTCCCATCTCCAACAAAACAAACAACAGACAAAAATTTGATAAGCACACTTACGACTTTGGACACAGGGTGAGATAGCTACCAATGAAATAAGAATGCACAGGCCACCATTTACACCAAGCAGGATCTTGTTGTATGTGCAGCCCTCGGAGCGCGTGTAAAAGACAGCCATCAAAATCAGGGCTCCCACAGCAACGGAGTACAAGACGAGAGTGCCCAGAGCTAGTAAGCCATACCACAGTTTATTATGCGTTGTGCCCGCAGTCCTGTTTGTAAGGAAGAAAATATATTAGCTATAGAAAAAATATGGAACATATACTCCTTATCGAGATAACTTATATGACCATTAGAGCTGCACAAAAGTCAGCATTTTGCTCTCTATAGTACATACATTGTTTCAGCAGTATAGGCTGTGACTTCTGGGTATTTTACAAATATAGTTGCCTTGCTAGATGCATTTGCTATCACCAGGATCTAGAAAACATTCCATAATGCTAGTGTTGATCATATATCAAGACTTTACACTGATGTTTTAATGCCTGGCTATTTCCATAAATATAGCCTGCAAGATTCTGAAGATTTGGAACAGCTTAGACTGAGCCATCTGCAAATCTTTGACACTGTTGTAATCGTAGCTCCTAGCTAACGTAGGGGATTCCTTGACTGGAGCCAAGGACGACCCTTCCAGGTCCCAACTCATTAGTGAAGTTCTTCCATTACATAAGCCCTGGAAAACCACGGTTAAATACACCGCAGCTATTCTTATCCTCCTACCACTACAACAGTTTTGTCCATTCAACCATTCTCCCGTCTTTTGGCTCTCTGTATCCTACAAGTTTTACTGAGTCCTGAATTCCCTACCCCCCACTCCCACCCACCCCTGCAAGAACTGATCTTGGGGGAACAAAGTATCAGACGGCATCATCCAGTACAATCAAGTTGTCTGTACTAACAGGGCAGAAATGATTTGCAAAATGGTTTACAAAAATCTGTTAACTCAGATGGTGCCTTTGAGTTACATGCCACTGCTGGAAGTCTCCTTTCAGGTCACACTGACAGCACTGGGGTTCTTCTACAGTTAATTATTGGCAGCAGTGGTTGTGCTGTGACAAGAGAACACATTTTATCTTATCCTCAGGAAAACAGTTATCAGGGGAGAATTACTATTACTATTTATTGGAAACAGAACTATTTCAGTCAAATACAAAGCAACAAGAGGTCAATAATAAGAGGGAGAGAAATGGCATCCAAAATGGGGAAAAAGGAGAGTGAGTAAAGAGTAGAAAAAGACTTAGAAGGTTGGGGAGTACTGTATCTTCTTTAAGTATAGTTGCCTTCCATCATAAAATAGTGTCTGTGGTATTTTTAAATACTGTGGTTAATTTTCTGTTAATAAAAACATGCATTTAAAGAAGGATTGCAATACAATACATTTTACAACCAACTGCTTGCCAGACACATACCAGTTTTTATTCCATTTGTGTGCAAACTCCACAAGCAGGATAAGCTGAATAAGTATAAAAAGGAATCCTCCCGCTGCACCTACATAGCGCCAGGCTGCAAGGGGAAAAAAGATCAATTTCCAATTATGTTGAATTTGAGAGCTTAGATAAACGGAGCTTTGTGGTATCAGGGCAAAAGTCTATGCAGTGAAACCATTATACAGCTCATCAAGACACATCTCAATTAACCTTGACTAGAGACCTTCCTGAAAATGGCAGAGGTCACCTGAAAGACCAGTGCAACTTTGCATCCATCCCAGCTGACTGATAGACATGATTCAGTTTATGGCACTCCACACCTTCTAGAATATCCACTACAAGTTCATTAACCTGAAGAATTTTTGTGGAGAAGGTTACTGTATATGAAGAGAAGCTACTGAAATCTTGCTACATGGTGCAGAAAAGCGGTGGCATCAGTTTACAGATCTCCTAAAACCTAAAATTGTTGAGGAACCTGAGGCTGAAAATGACTATCACTAGATTCAAAATTACACAGATGTAAAAATAAGGGGGAAAACTTATTCATTCATATTTGTAGGAATAAAAAAAAGTGTTCTGAGACACCCCCACAGCTACCACAATCCTCCGCATTCACCTATGACTGGTTTAAATCAAGACTGGATGCGAACACGTACATGTTAAAATAGCCTTTGGGTCCCCGCAGAAGCCACATGGGAGTAATTCTGCGTCACTTCCTTTCCAGAGTGGTCAATCTACATCCTGACCAGATACCTGATTTTTGTGAAAAACTAAAGGCTCTGAAGCAGCAGTTTTCAAACTGCGGGTCACCACTGGGTCATGGAACGTAAGGCATGGGGTGGTGGCGGCTCTGGTCGGAACTGCCGACCCGGCTGTTACAAGTCCCGTTGATGGTGTTGCCCAGCTAAGGCAGGCTAGTCCCTACCTGTTCGGGCACTGTGCTGGGCCCCAGAAGTGGTCAGAAGCAGGTCCGCCTCCTATGCGGGGGGGGGGGCCCCCACAGGGCTCCATGCGCTGCCCTCACCCCAAACACTTGGGGTGGGGGGGGATGCCCGTGGACGAGAGCCATGCGGAGGCACATGCATGCCTCCGCCTGGGAGCCGGACCTGCTGCTGGCTGCTTCTGGGGCACAGCACAGTCTGCGGTGCCAGGACAGGCAGGAAGCCTGCCTTAGCACCCCTGTTGCACCACTGACCGGGAGCCACCCAAGGTAAGCCTGCGCCCCAATCCCCAATCCCCTGCCCCAGCCCTGAGCCCCCGCGAAACCCAGAGCCCCCTCCTGCACCCCAAACCCCCCATCCCCAGCCCCAGCCCAGAGCCTGCACCCCCAGAGCCCTGACCCCATCCCACACCCCAACCCCCTGCCCCAGCCCAGAGCCCCCTCCCATACCCCAAACCCCTCATCCCCAACTCCGTTGGATCACGGACATCTATTTTCAACTGGGTCACCAGAAAAAAAAAGTTTGAAAACCACTGCTCTAAAGGAAGTGTGTGCAGCTATTTATCTAAAGGCTCATTTGGAGTCACTGTATGTCTTATAATTTGGAAATGCATCTAGTAATACAGGTGTATAATGGGGTCTTTTCTCACTCAACATTTGACCCTTAGACTATAACTATAGACAGTCAGCTATCCGCACTAACAATTCATAGCTGGGGAATGTGCTAATGAACTTTAACTGTGACCTGAGTAGTATTTTGCCAAGAAAACTTACCTTGATTAATAAGAGCTGAACAATATCGGTGTTAGTTTACATTGCTCTTGGCAGAGTTATATACATTTGTTGTACTGCAGCATTATGGTTTGTGTTACTTGAGTACTTTCAGTCTATCATTTGTTTGTCAGTTTTGATAAGCTATTGTATTAGTTTAATGAGCATGAAGTTCTTTTGTAAAAATGTCAGCAAAGTGGAGTACAAAACTGAAGGTGTGAATGGGCTGTGTGTATGTGAGGGGGAGGGGAGAAGTCTGGTAGGCTCCTCACCCCTACTCAGTAACTAGGTACCTAGATTTCCAAGTAAGAACCATACCTATCACAGAAGGCTACATTGCAGTTTGTGTGCGCGCCCGCACACGCAAAGCTAGTAATAGGGCTGTGCAAACCATGCAGTTGCACATGATGCCTCCCCAGCCAAACTAATGGGGCAGGGAGCAGTGGTAATACATATATATTTTATTTAAATAGAAAGAGGGGAAGAGCTACAGAAACCTTCTGGGAGGTGGAGTATGCAGCAGATGCCTCCTGTTTGGAGAAGGGATTGAAGGAACTTCTAAACACCCTTCCCTAAGACATTGACACAAAAGAGACCAGCACATACTTCTTGATTTTTTCTGTGCAAAACAGACTGGGGGAGAAGTGTTTCCTGTCTAGAATCATCAAAAGATTGTTGTTCATGTCCTGACTCAAGAGCTACTTTTTCTCCACTTACACACGTTCATGTTACTCCAGAGAATCAGTACAGTGGAAAGGGTCACTGCGGCGCACCTGGATCACGAATGCCTCCAAATAGTAATATTCTAGAATTCCATCACTTTCTAACACAGTGGGTGTTTAAAGATTAAAGAACAAGGAATACGTAACTAACTTCAGCCTCATGAAACTGGGGTGGGCACCAGACTCACCAGGAGCTGTTCCTGGTGGTGCTAGTGGGCAGGGCTGGGAGCAGTACTGCCATGCCAGGAGAACTGCCCAGGCTGAGCGCTGGCTCCTGCGAGCAGCAGCCCGACATACTGCTGCTTTTCCCACTGTGGTTCATGGTAGAGCCCTGCAGCTCTGTGGATATCAGCTTTATACATGTGGATATCCATATCTGCGGATATGAATTTTGTATCTGTGTGGGGCTATATTTAGGAGCACAAATCTCACTGAATTTCAGTGGGACTTTTGCTCCTAACTCCCTAAAGTAATTTTTTTAAATCTCCCCCCAAAGCTGACATTTACATATGGTTGAGAAAACATTCTCAAACCACTCTCAGAGTTAGTGACAGTAACTGCTACCAATTTATATTCCCAATTAACAAAAACGGTTTCAGACACTACTATGGAAACAGGATCCACAATAAATAAATTGGCAATACAACATCTCAGCAAGAAATCTAATTTTCTACTACTAGACGTAATTTGTTTAGTTTCCCGCACAGCTTACAAGATCCTGTCTCATTACAGTCAGTCACTGCTAGTTTTCAAGAGAGAGGATTCCAGTGTGCTTTATGTTTTGTGTTACTTGGCTTACGGTACCACCTTATGAACAGAACAAGCTCTCTCTGTTGCAAATAATGGTATTCAGCTGACTGCAACACAGCTAATTATACAGACAAGGTGGGTGATGTAATACCTTCTATTGGACCAACTTCTGTTAACAGATAATTATTTGCTCACCCACTTTGCCTCTAATAGCCTGGGACCAACACAGCTATAACACCAAAGCATAAAACTAATTATATCAGCCAGAAAAAAACCCAACACATTTTTGCATATTCCTAAGTGTCTACATTTTTCAGCACTCGTTATGACTATCTGTAAATCCAAAAGCTTGCAAGGCAGCACAAGTTTGTTATTTTGTTCACACACGTACCCTGCGCATGTGTATATAACATGTTAAAAATATTCTTAACTGTTTATACAAAACTAAGAAAGAAGTGAAACAACTATGGCAACCCCATTCATTCACTCAGCTACTAGCACTATCATTGCGTTACCGTAACAAGGGATACGGGTTTCAGAGTGGTAGCCGTGTTCGTCTGTATCAGCAAAAAGAACGAGGAAAACTTGTGGCACCTTAGAGGCTAACAAATTTATTTGGGCATAAGCTTTCGGGAGATAACCGATCTGTCTCTACTGTTAAGGTTATAGGCACTCATACAAGCAAAATGGAAAGGGTATATGCATACAGAAAGATAAAATTGTACCATTAAGGAAGGTGTCTTGATCTGGAATGAAAAAAGCTCCTGAGCACATGGCTGCCAAAACTAGAAGCTTAATGAACCAGAACCTGGAAGACAAAACCAAAGTGGAATATTATTTATAAAAGAAATTAAAAGTCTTCGACAGGAGTTCTGTCTGTTTCATAGGACAGCTGTGCCTTAAGTAGTGGTTACTGCTCTCTGGTACAAAGGAATCACTACCGGTCTGAATACAACTTAGAATTCACTTCTACACTTATGTACATATGTCAAACAAACCATCAAAATTAACTCAGTGCTTTTGATAACACTATACATAATCAAAAAGAAATGCAGTATGGAAATCTAGCACTACACAGGGAATGTGATTTATTGCTTGATTTTAGAAGAGGGCAAAATAAGCGAACAAGCTAAAACTTACCCATTGTGAATATATGCTCGGCAGCTTTTGCTGTTGTTAATTTTGATGGTAAGTAAGAAGAAGATAAAGAAGAAAGATGCCATTCCAAAAGAGACCCTATAAACCGCAGAGTATCCCACTAGCTTCTCACACGTTTCACCTGCTTGAATACCTTTGCAGATGCGCTCATAAAAAGGAATCTGAAACACACACACAGTGAGAAAATTAAACAGGATTTACCGTAATTAAGCAGATTGCACTCATATAGTTTACATGTGTACAGCTGACTTAAAAATAGCTAATTGGATGTATTTCACACTTACAAGTTATGTTTCAGTGACTCTGAACCATCAGTCTGGACTGAGGGGTAAACTGCATACAACAGGTGAGGTGGTACATAGATTATAAAGGATTGGAAGTCTGGAGCCACAATTGACAGCTACTAACTCCTGTCAAATGCCTCAGTACAGGGTGAAGGGGAACAATCCCCTACTCCTCACCACTTTTAAAGGAAGATTGGCATCATACCTCTTCTTTAAAAATAAATTGCCAGAAAGGTAGGAAAATTCCATCCCTTTCCCCACTTGTTAAATATTTGCCTTTTAGGCCTTGCCCTAACTTTGTGTGGTTGTTTGTTCCCTCTCATATTCTGGCCTCAGAGGCTCACCACACTAACGTGGAAATGAATACTCCCGAAATGTCTCCTGAAAAGCAGGTTTCTGTGACTTTTATCCATTTATGTGCTCTGTCTCTGTATGCAGACTAGACCTCGCCCCCTCACCCCATGGCTAGAGCAGATCCCCAAAAGAAGGATTTATAATGGGTGAAACACCATTAGTTTAGAGGAAACTAAAGTCTCTCTGTATCCTCAGAGCCACCAACCTAAACCAATGAGACTTGTAGAGCAATACACCATCAGATGAGAGTGGGGATCATTAGTTCACTTTTCTTACATGAACAGAGGCTGACACACACAGTGTTTTGCCCTAGCAAATGTTCTCTTCAAAGATTTAGAGGAACAAGACAGAAAAAATAAATTCAGCAGCTGCTCAGCCTCGGATGATTTCAAGAAAGAGAATGAGTCTGGGAAGCATACCGAGGTTGTAGATAATACCCTACATAAAGAAACAGCGCAGCTCCAAGAAAGGAAGAATGCTGGTCTCTGCTTGTCCCAGACGACAACTCGAAAAGCAAAACGGAAAGGGTCAGAGAGCAAATGGACAGAAGACTGGATGATTAGATTCAAGCCATATTGTAACTCTTGAAAGATTTTCACCTCCAAATACTTTCAGAACATGGCTAGTATGCCAAGCAAGACATGATTACTTGAGCAAGCAGAACACTAGTAAACAAAAATGGATGACAGGAGCGTACACGTGAGGGGTTGGTGTACTTGCTTTCTTTGGAGAGTCACACCTGTAATCCTCTACTACCAGCAACAGTCAATCCACATGCCAGATCAACCAAAAATGTCCACAGCCTGAAAGGTTTTTTTAAAACAGCTCTGCAACAGGAGGTTAATGTATCATATGACTATGGCAATGCAGAATTGAGGACAATAAGGAGTTTTTGAGGTGTATTAGGAACAAAAACCATCTTAACAGTATTGGTCCATTACTAGACAGATATTGCAGAATCTTCAACAGTAATACAGAAAAGGCACAAGTGTTCAATAAATATTTCTGTTCTGTATTTGGGAAAAACAGAGTAATATAATCATATCATATGATGAAATATTTTCCATTCCAACTCAAGAGGATGTTAAAGAGCAGCTACTAAAATCAGACATTTTAAAAATCAGCAAGTCCAGATAATTTGCATCTGAGAGTTTTTAAAGAGCTGGCTAAGTAGCTCCTTGGAAAATTAATGTTCATTTTCAATAAGTCTTGGAACACTGGGGAAGTTACAGAGGACTGGAAGAAAGCTACATTTGTGTGAATATTTCAAAAGGGTAAATGTGATGACCTAGATAACTACAGGCCAGTTAGCTGGAGGGCAGAGCAGGGCAGGTTGGGGCCTGGTCACTTGCTGCTGCCGCCAGTGCCAGGCCCCCTGTTAGCCCCCCAGGCCATGGGGCCCGGGGCAGTTGCCCTGGTCTGTCCTATGGCCAGGACGGCTTATATTTTCAGAGCCCGAACATTTGTGGAGCCGGGCCCACATTCCTGAATATTGGTGGAGCATGGGCACCACAGGCCTGTATAACTCGCTGCCTATGTCTTCAAGTCCTTAGACTTATCTCAGACACAATGCCCACAGAACAGTACCAGCTAGACGGGTGGTAAACTGAGATATCTGCTTATTGTACCATAACTTGATTGATTTTACTGCCACTATGTCCTCCCTCTACCCCCAATGGCATTTGTTTCATCCATCTGTTGAGTCTTTTCACAACCTAGCTTGAAGCTCACTGGGGCAGGGATAGTTTTTACTGCGAGCTTGTACAGTGCCCAGAACAATGGAGCACCGATTAGTGTCCATACATGTTACCCTGATACAAACTCTAATAAAATAGGCAATGCTGAGATTTGTTTTCCTAGACAGAATGCAAAGTAGTGAGAGTTCCCCAACGTGCATTGGGGTAGACAAACATTCTTATTAAAATGAAACTTTTAAAACTATATTTTTTTCCAAACACACCAGATAGTGCAAAAAACGTATGTTTGCGAAACTAAACTCTCATTTGTAGCTGTCCCCTCCCAAGACAAGCGTCTTAGGTATCATTGAGTTAACAGATATGCTGCTAAGGCAAATGATATAGAACCGTTTCAGACTTAGTAAATTTACAGCAAATGTAGAAGCCAGGTTGGCACAACATTCAAATGGCATCATCAAATCAATAAAATTTCAAAAGGCGAGTTAGAAAGGGTAATATTCACTCCACATGAAAGAGGATGTTCACAAACATTAACAGGAGTATTTGATCTCTAAATTGACAGAGCAGGCACAAAGTCATGTACCAGATATACAGATGAAGAAAACACTGGGACTAGGTTTTAAAATTCATGAGCTCTCTATTTTTACAGATGGTCAGACTATACAAATATTGGAGAACTACAGTTTGCTTATGGCCTGATTTCCGAGGTTGCTGAGCACTCAGAAATCCCATTGAAACCACCTCTAAATATCAGTCCATAATTAATGTCTCAGTTTCCCAATCTGGATAGAGAATTTGAAGGTGCACCCTGCTAAGGCTGGGCTTAATTAACTGTTGAAGCTTTTGAACTTTAAACATCCCAGAACATGCTTTATTACTAATTTAGAGAACAGATAAAGAAAGCCTAGTTTCATACACTTCATTTTTCATTCAAAACCATCAAATACTCTTAATTTAAAAGAGCAATTATCTTTCCGGTTCACACTAACTCCTTTTCTTTGTGCCATTTCTTCCCACCACTGAGCCTTCAAGGCAAAAGAACAGGCAGAGAAATTGGCATTACTGAAAATCATATTGTTGAGGGCTGCTTAGGAGACCCTGAAATAGTTTACTGTTTTGATTAGAATATTTGTTTTGTTGGAGACACAAATTGTATTAAAACCTTACTAATAAAAGAAATGGATTTTATGAATTTTTGGCATAAACATGTAAATTGTCTTCAAAAAATTCAATTTCTTGGATTATATTCAACTTCTCTCCATTCAAGCTTCCCACAAATGAAAATCTAGTTCCTGTCAAGCAATCAAGATGGTACATGAACTCTGGCAAACTAAAGTGTTTTTAAAAAGCCAGAGGCCAAGGAGAAACAATATGCCTGCATTAGTCAGCCATACAGACTACAGGCAAGCAGAACAGAATCAATCTAGTAATTTAAATAGCTGATTAAACTGGGAAGCAACTTTAACCATGTGTTCCACGGCACACTTTCTTTGAGAAGAGTGCAGTGAAACAGCCAACGCAAAGCTGGCTGAAGACCTCTTTTGAACTTTTAAGACCACCTTACTCAAACAGAAAGGCAGGCTTGATGCTTATTCCCTGGAGAAACTAACTAGGTTCCAGTCTTATGTTACTGAATTATTGAAAATTCAATCCACTCCCTGTTTAAGTAGCAGAATCAGATTTTTGTTCTGTAACAGAAACAAAGTTTAGATCTCATGCATTAGTATGTTGTGCTGTCAGGAGCTATGGCAATTTGGGGAATCTATGTACACCTTACAAATTCTAGTTGATTTTAAGAACTTGCTGTATCATTGAATGCCACGTCTATACTACAGGAACTATAGCAGCAAAGCTACCGTGCTGTAGCTATGCCAGCATAACCCAACAATGTAGACACAACCCCCAGCGACAGAAGGGTTTTGTCACTGTAGGAATACCACTTCCTTCAGCAACGTTAGCTAGGTTGATGGAAGATTTGTCTGTCGACCTAGCTATATCTACACTTGGGCTTAGGTCAACATAGCTACATCACTCAGGAGTGTGGATTTTTCACACCTGAGTGACATAGCTATGTTGGCATAAATTTTACAACAGGTCTCAGCGTATGTGGAATTCACCTTGTGCTGTCAGAGCTGAGTCAGGTGTCTCCCAGTCCAGGGACAATGGAAGGTCGCTAAATGGCTCCCATTCAAACTGGAACACCTTGGGACAACGGGGTGGAGAAAACCAATTCTCTTAGCTTCAGCAAATTTCTCTGCAAGGGTTGGGGGATGAAGGAGTGGAATTCCCCCAGAAGCTGAAAAAAGATTTGGTGTTCGCTCTGGATCTTAAAGAAACAGAGCCTGAGACACTCAGAGGAAGAACTCTCAGGAGGAACACAGGCACAGGCTCTTGGAGGGAGAGATGTCTTTGAAAGCAACCCGCCCAAGTTAAAGGAAGCTGGCTGGAGAAAAAAAGAGCAGATCCAGGGATGACAAGGGTCGGCCGTCCTTAAGAGTGAGAGTTACAGCACAAAGAGTGAGATTCAAGGTGGTGTGTTAGGTCATTGCTTAAGACAGGGACTCTCTTCATTGCTCCTTGGCAACAGACATCCAATAGTCCAGGTTTTTAATCCAGCACTTAATAGTTGGTTTTAAAATGTACACTGCTTAACATTGCATATGAAACACTTACATATCCTAATTCACACTAAAGTCTAGGGCACATGAGAATTCCACTGGTTTGCACTGCATATAGATTTTAATAAAAACAATTATTTGCTGGTTGGCACGAGAACCTGGATGGTTGGAGATCCCTGAGGACTAGAGATGTTAAACCCTGGTTTAGGCACACAGTCAGTGGACAGAACAAGAGAAATATTGAAAAATTTTTGTTTTTATATAAAAACAAAAATGAAAACTTATCAATGCAACAATATGTTTGTTTTGCATATCACCTTGTTAGAGTGATCATTTGAAAAACATTTACTATACAAACCTAATCATATTTGTACTATAGTAGGTCATATTACATATACAGCAAACTAAAATAATCAGATTCCAAAATTAAAAATAAAATAACCAAATACATTCATTTAATGTAAAATATTTTAAATAAAGTAATTAAATTGAATTTAGTTATTTTGAAGCTAACAAACCATAGATAAAGGATTCAGATTCCACATTTCTTTTAATATCTAAATTTAGTTTTATGTTTATTTGTGTGCTTTTTTAATATTGCCATGTGGCCCCTTTTGCTGTTTTTATAACTTCTTTTGGTGGCTCAAACTTGAAACATGGCTCAGGATTTACCAGCCCCACTTGGATAAGAGGACTGTGTCCTGTCTAGTATGAATGGTGTCTTATTTTTTTTGAAGAAAGACTGAATACACTCTTCTCCTGTATTTGAGTGGGGAGAAATTAAGACAAGCCTGGCAACCTTGGTTAATGGGAACTTTAGAAGACCACACTGAAAAAAAAGTAGTCTTGCCTGTTACCAGGACAACGAATTTGTCTTGTGTGGTTTAAATTTTGAACTGTATTTTGCAGACCCTGCAAACTTTCGATGAAGTCCTGCCCTTTTGGCTCAGGGGACTTCCCAGCCCTTCTTGGGCCTGGACAAGGAGGAAGGGAAAATATCCTACCCAGCTTCTCTCTCCTTGGCACAGGAGGCCCACAACAACTCTTGTTGGTAACTCTGCTTATTACCTCTGGCCAACTGGGGTTTCAGACAGGCTTACCTGCAGCTGGCCCCTTTTCACCTTACTCCCTTTTTTCTCCCTGGCCTGGAAGAGCTCAGCTGGCAGCAACCTTCCAATGGCTGGTATGTGACTCTGTTCGGAGCAAAGAGGCAGCATATGGACAGCCCTCTTTCCCAGAGCTGGTTCTGGTTGCATGGGAGAGGGAATCTTGCCTCACCCTCTCTACAAGATCCCAGGTCTTTAGAAGATTGGAAGCAGAGGTTTTCTCCAAATACAGATTATTCCCAGTGACTGCCTCCTTTATCTGCCTTTGTCTACATTGAAACCTCCCAAAAATCTTAAAAGGCCATGCCACATGACCAAGGGTGGGCACAACTACCTTAAGTGGCCAAACCACACCACCACAAGAACTTTTGCAAAGTTTGTGTATGTTCTGTGCCTCAGCTATCACGTGTCCCTGAAGTAGTAAACTGTAAACCAGAGTACCCTCAAGACTGTTGCTCTGGAAAAGGGAACCAGCACTAGTTATGGTGCCCAGGCAGACAGGCTGCCAGATCTCCGCTCTCAGAAAGAGGTAGTAGACTGAAGAGCTGCACCCCAAGAGTGTGCGCCCAGGAATGCAAAGTCAGAGGCAGTGCTAGGCCTTGGCTCTGACCCAGGAAGCTTAAAAGCACACAGGCCCAGCATATAGGCCCAAAAAGCAGCCTGCAGAGTGTCCAGAGGGCAGCTTGACCAGGGCTGTGACAGAAGCTTAATTATAAGAACTATTTTAGAACCACCAGCAGGACAGTGGGGTGGGAGGAGGTATTGTTTCATATTCTCTGTGTGTATATAAAGTCTGCTGCAGTTTCCACGGTAAACATCTGATGAAGTGAGCTGTAGCTCACGAAAGCTCATGCTCAAATAAATTGGTTAGTCTCTAAGGTGCCACAAGTACTCCTTTTCTTTTAGACCATAGTTGCCCGTATACTTCTGAAGCTTTAAAGAGCTGAACAATGTCTGGGTAGCATCCAATGAGTAGTGACCACAGGAACATGATGATTCAAACACTTGAACAAGGAACACTTCTTATGAAAGGAGTGCGCATGTGTGCACGCGTGCGCGTGTGAGCACCCCTTCACAAGAGTTAAAGAACATAAAACCATGTTCCAATCACAACCAGCCCCCTCTGCTTTTTAGGGTATGTCTACATTGGCAAGTTTCTGTGCCACAAGTTATACCACTTATTAAAACGCTGGAATTAAACCGCTGCTGCATGTCCACACTGTGCTCGTGATGCTGGGGCACATCCACATTAGCAGCTCTTGCAATGGCAAAGACAGCAGTGCACTGTGGTAGCTATCCCACTGTGCAACTGGCCGCAGTGTGCTTTGGGAAGGGTTTACAATGCCTCATGGGGCAGGCACAGAGTCACATGATGCAGGTTTCCCAATCCCATTGTTCCAGGGGCTTCCTACTACTTTTTCCAGCTGCTTTTCAACTGAAGTGGTGGGGGAGAAGAGTGTGTGACAGGGAGTGTGCATGTGTATCGAGGGTGGGAGAGACAGAGTGTGTTTTGGGGACAGGGAGTGTGTCAGCATGCTGTCTTTTTTGTAAGTTCATACTGTGGCAGGAAGTAACCAGTCCTGAGGCAGGGAGAGGGAGAAATCCTGACATCAGCCCCCGCCTCCATCCCTGGGCACTCTGCACAGCAATCTCTCTCTCTCCCAACACCTCTATGTTCAACAGCAGGAGCATTCCACATTAATGGTTTGCTTTGTGTCCCGGAGCAGATCAGCACAGCACACAATGACTGTCAAAAACGGTGCTTTGAAAGGGGAGGGGCGCATGTCTCCAGGGCAGCCCAGTTCAAAACAATGAGCAGAGCAGTCATTTGAGGCATTATGGGACAGTTTCAAAGGCCAATTACAGTACAGAAAGCAATCAAGTGTCTACACTGGCAAAAGAGCGCTTGAACCTCTGCACAAATAGCCTTACGACTCTTGTCCAGGTGGGTTTTTTTTTGCAGGGCTGCTACTGAGGAATTTCTGCGCACAAAGTGGCTTGGTAGTGGGTACACATCTGCAGTTTGAGCAGAAAAAGCTGCTTTACTGTGCAGAAACTTGCCAGTGTAGACAAACCCTAAAACACAAAACTTCAAGGATTATTCTTCCCTTTTGAATTTTCTCTGCTGCTAAACCCACTACCGCACTTTGATGCAACTTTAAACAGTACCCACAAGAGGCTCATAATAGGAATGTTTAAGGGACTAGAGAAAGTTTCTCCTCAAAGACTGGAATCCGTTCTGTTTGCTCTTACAATATTCATTTTTGTTTTCACACTCTGACAAACAGCAAAGACCACAGTGAGGAAATCATGGTGAGACTCCTCCCACCCTTGAGAAGAGAATGTCCACCAATTGTTAGCTGGCTTTAAGATCAGTCTGCTGTTCTATCATATCCCACAAGTGATCCAAATGAAGCCTGTATAGCGTTTACTGAAATAGTTTCCACATAACTAAACAGGAAGAAGGCCGCTCGTCATTAGATCTTTGTTCCCTTATGAAACCCAACTGGAAACACAGACAGCTGGAGGGCAGAGAGAGGCATTAGCAGAACACAACTCCCATTTTTTTAAGGGGGAAGGGAGGGAGATGACTGGAACTCTGCTTCAAGAATGACTCATTGTAAGGATGTACCAAGAGAAATATTTGGTGAGGGGCTATACCCTTCCAGTTCTGCCATCTATACATGAGGGTACATTAAAAGAGCCCCATCATTCCCTTTAGAAATAATATACCAAAAAACCCTGTTACTTACGTGCTCTTTCATTTCAGTAGCTACTGTTCTTGACATCATGATACAGCAGATGAGCGTTACCAGTATGAAGTAAAGTGCATACATGAAGCGGGTGCTCGTAGATTGCTTTATCTTGGGGCAGCATTTGCAGCACAGGGAGCAAGCAGCAGTACCACAGCAACAGGCCAACTAGAAAGGCAGAAACAGACAATGTTATTCATTCCGGCAGCATCACCTCATTTTAACTGACTAATTTTGCTAGGGCTGCTGATAGACTTCCTAAACACTCCAGAAATAGACAGTAACCGGAGGGGGATGTATTATCCTAGGTGTGATGGCCTGCTTGATTGCCAGTGAAGGGTAAAACCAAGATGAGCTCTAATAATTCCACAATGGAGAGTGGGAACAAAATGTACTTCTGACATCCTAAAAAAATGTTTTCTGCATTCTTAGGCAGCTCCTGGTACCGGCCGCATCCTCCCACTTGATCCAGCAGTACAAATTCACTCCAGTGACAATGCCCTACCTCCCAAAACACACACACACTCCCCCCACTGATAGAGGAAATAAGTCAAAGGACCTGCACTAAACGGGAACCAACTCTATGGCAACTGTAACAAAAACAAAGACATGATGATTTAATTTGTGATCTGAACTGGAGATTAATTTTATCTCACAAAGACTGTGTATAACTGTACTGATTGACTCCAGTTTCTCATTCAGTGTTTAAATCCTTTTATCAAAGGCATACTGCACTCTTCATTGACGTTAACTTGTTAAAGTTGCTCTCTCTTTATTCAGACCTGTTATTTGAGTACTTTCCTTTTTGCTATAAAAATATTCAGAAAGTTTTATAATGGTAAAGACTGAGTGAATTAGGGAAGTTTTGACCAGCAGGCAATCATTCATTCTCTGTGCTCAAAGCAAAACTAAAGCGAATGTTAAAAAAGTATGTAGTACACAGGTTAAGAAAAGAGTGTCTGTACATCTCGATATAGTGCTTAGAATCTAAGCCTTAGATTATCCACAAATACAAAGTTAAGTTTGTTTTTAAAGTCATAAGATTGTGCAATATATATATATATAATATATATATATTTTGCACAATCAGCAACAACCCAAATTTAGGTGAACAACATTATGGCTACAAAAGGAAGCACTCAAATCATCAAATGCCAAAGTTAAAGTTGTTCAGACAGACATAGCCATGCCTCATTGTGTGTATGCATTTTAACAGTTTAAAGAATCACATACTACTTTTCTCTAGGAACACCACCTCATTCAGTGTGCAAGATAGAGAGTACCTCGTGACAGATGTAGCTATTCAATATTTCTTGTTATCCTATTATTTGGCTTGTGACCACATGCCTTATACCATTCCCCCAAAGCCAACATTTACACTGAATGATCAAGGACTTCTGCAGACCCCCGCCTCATTCACTATTCAACTTTTTCAATGAATGAAACAGAGGTACTCAAAACAATTTCCTTCACTAAACACATTGCTTCATTCGTCATCTGACCCACACAGTGAATAAGGTAGAGGTCTCATAGTATGTGACCATGTAATTAAAGACTGTATAATATTGTATATGAACAAGGGAATCAAATTAAAATTGTGTGGGTAGCCCTAACTTTGGCACTTCAGACAAATAAATTCAATCCAGTTACTCATTCAGCAGACAAACCCTGATACCTCAGAATTTACCAAAATGGATAAAGAAAGCCTTGGATTTTTTTCATTCAGTCAATATTAAGTTTGAGACCATTTCTCTTAAGTATCCAGTAAAAGTATCCAAAAAAACCACAAAAATCCAAACACCTGGGGATTAAAGCTATCCTGAAGAATTAGGAATGTATGTAAATTTGGCATTCATGAGAGTGAAGGGGAACAGCATTGTTTGAACCAGGTGCTATGTAGTTCTGACAGTAAAATCTCACTCATGTCCAGAAACACGTCTGTTATTCCAGTGCTAGGCCCCTGGAGCATTATATTTAAAAGCAATGAATACTTATAACACACTATTCATATAGATTATAATTACAGATTACATACTGGGTACCGGAAACTATTTTTCATTCCTTCTGAGGGTACAGTTGGCTATGTTCAGAAGAATATTTGGACACCCATCATATTCAGGGGATGTCATGTAATACATTCTAAACAACAATGGGAATTATAAAAAGCTGGTTAAATTAAACAGCCGCAGGTCAGAGTTTGACACTGATTAGGATTGTCTGTATTCCAGAAGGACCCACAGTTTGCAAGGTGCTATCCACATATACAATAAAATCAGTCCCTGCCCCAGGAGAAAAAGATGCTGACACCAATATGTTCACCACAGAAGTTTCACAGATTTGTATCTTGGAAGCCAGATTTCAAGTTCAGCACTAATTTGAACCCCAACAAAGAATTAAAATTTTAACAAATGATCAACGCAATCTAAATTATGTACTCACTATCATGATATCAAGTATGTTCCATTCACCTCACTTCCTAGTTTCTATTACTATAAGGCAGGGGTTCTCAAACTGTGGGTCGGGACACCATTTTAATGGGGTCGCCAGGGCTGGTGTTAGACTTGATTTTTGCTGAAGCCAAAGCCCCACTGCTCGGGGTCAAAGCCAAAGCTGAAGCCCGAGCCCTGCCACTTGTGGCCGAAGCCCAAGGGCTCCAGCCCTGGGCAAAGGTGCTCAGGTTACAGGCCCCGTGTGCCTGGGGCTGATGCCCTCGGGCATTGGCCCCCACCCACCCAGGATAGTGGGGCTCAAGCTTTGGCTGTGTCTCTGCCCTGTCTGGGGTGGCAGGGCTTGGGTGGGGCTCGGGCTTCAGTCCCTCTCGTGGGGTCATGTAATAATTTGTTATCAGAAAGGAGTCACTGTGCAATGAAGTTTGAGAACTGCAGCTATAGGGTCAAAAAATTCTCCACAGGACCTATTGCCTACTGTGGGGTAGCAGTGGATTCCATTAACATAGTAAAGACAAGAGACGAGAAGACGTGGGGAGAAACAAAACATTTCATGACCTTTTACACTAGTTAACTGCTTTAATTATAAAGCAATCACTGAAAATATAGTTACGGTTCAATTTATAAAGCAAGCAGGAATTTTAGTTTACTCATTATGGATTAATATTTTTCAGCAGAGTTCTAGTTTCCATGAGTGAGGCATTAGGCTAGAGTACATACATACATTCATACTGACACACTAATAAATCTTATGTCTGTACTCTATCTTCGGTTGGAATACCACAGAAAAGGCTGACAGCGATTACAAGCATTACACAAAAAACAAGGCCCTGGCTTTCTACAAATATTTATAACCATACCTCCATCTTTCAGACCATTATGTTGAGCAGTCAGGGCTTTAGTTAATACAGATGAAATCTGACAAAACATTAGAAGGAATCAGCACCCACTTTGCTCAGTGTATGTCCCAAGAGCTCACAAGGGGAACAGTTCTCACTAGAGAGGAACTCAAGTATTTTTGAAAATAGAAAAAAGAAAAGGAGTACTTGTGGCACCTTAGAGACTAACAAATGTATTTGAGAATGCATCCGATGAAGTGAGCTGTAGCTCACGAAAGCTTATGCTCAAATAAATTTGCTAATCTAAGGTGCCACAAGTACTCCTTTTCTTTTTACGAATACAGACTAACAGCTGCTACTCTGAAACCTGAAAATAGAAAGTTCACTAAGATTGGCATTTTAATCCTTCTGCTGATGGCAGTTAGTTTGCTGGAGACACACATTTGTGACAGCAGTAAAGAAACCTTATGGGAACTTTTCTACACTATTAAAAAATATATAGAGAAAAATGATTAGCTAATTGATCTAACTACCATTTTTTCCTTGCATGGACACAGTGCAATACTAGTTACCTCCACTGAGCATGATGGGGCATACCCTGGACTCCAAACTCAGTCAAGGTAAATAGCATCACACTGCAAGACAATGATGGTTAGATCAAGGTTCGTTAACACACCCCATCTTAACCTTGACCCATTTTTCTAGTATATGCAAACCCAGTATAACTTTGTGAACTCCCACCCTACTTCAACCTCAGAAAGAGATACACTACTTGATTTAAACAGGTTAATGGAACAGCATGAAAACCATGTTAGGCCCCAAACCCGTAACGACTGACACACATGCAGAACTTTATGACAGTGAGTACCCTAATGAAATCAGTGGAACTACTCATGATAGTAAAAGTTAAGCGTGTGTGTAAGTATTTGCAGGACTGGAGCCCTACAGCGGGCTCCTTCTCCCTGCTGTTTTCACAGGACCTCTCAATTTAGCAATATGTCTTTTGGTGGAAAGAGTGTCTCAGAAATGCCACAAAATATTCCATTTAACCATTATGAGAAATGCATCTGAGCAGGTGGTGAGCTTCAAGATTGCTGTGCAAAATAGTTAGTTTCTTTATGATACCTTCCTGCGCCGCTTCCCGCAGGCCCCAATGGCCTGGAGTGGCGAACTGCAGTAGGTGGGAGCTGTGATCGGCTGAACCTGCAGATGCTGCAGGTAAACAAACTGGCCCGGCCCCGCCAGGGGCTTCCCTGGCGGGCCGCGGGCCAAAGGTTGCCGATCCCTGGTCTACATGCTGATTTAACTGCACAGTTAGTTGTAACAGCTGCTTTAGTCTTGAGTAAATTCCAAGGGTAAATGTACCCTTCTCCACAAATAGGTTGTCTTTAAAAGGAATTTTTTGCATTGAGTTCACCATGCCTTTAAAAAAAATTTTAAAAGCTAGTGTTAAAGCTTTCATACAAACTGACAAAAGCCAGGAAACCAAAAGTGCAGAGTAAAAGTTAACCCTTTCTCAACTTACGCTATTTATTTTCAGGTGTACTATAAGTAACAGCCCAAATCAGTGAAAGGCTTCTAATTTAGGTTATTGTCAATATAGCTGGTCAAAAAGCATTTAGCAAAAAAATGCAAAGTTTATTTCCATTTTGCAGGGCTCAAAATGGTCCCCATTTTTAAATTTTTGCTATTTTCCCTCCATATTTTTTGTTTAGCATAAACAGTTTTCCTATTGAAATCAGTATTTTCATAAATGAAAAAATTTCAATAATGATTTCAAAAAAGATTTTTGGGGGGAGGGGGTGGGGAGGGGAATCTATAAAATTTTAACAGTAAATAATGTTCCGGAAAACTGTGATATTGTCAAACATTTTCACAAAAT